TACGAGTATAACCCATAATTATTAAAATGTTTGACCCACTTAGGCTCCCTTTCCTCAAATGTTTCTTGTTCAATAATGTAAAATAAATTTACAAACTCTATTTCATATACTACGTATGAAGTATTAAACAACTTTGTTTTTTCAATTGACATTTTCTTAAACTATGTCGTTAAGAATGTTAATTATTCTAAAACAAAGGGAATGAATTGAAAATTTATGGGACGAATGAAGTATTAGTATAAAAACTGGTGCCTTTCTATACAATTTGCTGATCATTTATCACTAATAATTTTCTGTCATTTTTAAAGTTTCTTACGGGCTATAAACATTAAGTACGCCAACAAAACAAGCTAATCACAACAAAACAAGCTAATCACTACTCCGTAAGACATGGTAGAAGTAAGGATAAAAGGGCATAAAGGAGATAATTTAAGGAAATTTTGTCAAGAACTGTCAATTAAAGCACGTGTTTTGGAAACAATTATCTATTAAATCTTTTTTAAAAGAATTACCATATAGTATTATAAAATTTAACTAGCACTAGCACTCTAACAATTCTACTTAGAATATTCGGCATATAGATTCCAATTTTTACCTTTACCTTATAAAATCATCATCTAAATTGACTAAAGTACCTTTCATAAAGGTAAAAGTGGTAAAAAGTGAGACACAAATGTCAGAGATTCTAGCTGGAATTATTATAGTGGTAGTGCTTGTTAAAGTTTTTACAGTTTTATGGTAATTCATTTTAAAAAATAAATAAATAAATAAATAGATAGTTATTTTCAAAACATATGTTTTAATTTGTAGTTATTGACAAAATTTCCTAACCTTTAATTATTGTTGGCACAAAACTATTCCACCTACTTAAATCAAATTAACGTGATCTAATAGAATTTTTAAGTCAAATAATTTGTTATCCTTTGACTTAAATACAATCACTCTCACTAAGTGAGCAAACTATCTTTGACCTAAGTAGTTTAGGTTGCCAACTTCCCATTATCTCAAGCTTCCTTTATCCAATCTAATACGAAGTAATTAAATAATTGTGATGATTTCTTGCTCCAATTAATTAATAGTAAAATTAGCCACCTATTTTGTCTAAGTTTTTTTTTTTTTTTTTTTTTTTTTTTGAAGACTATTTTGTCTAAGTTAATCTATTGGAACTTTTTTTTTTTTAATATATTGGAACTTTGGATGTACTAGCTTCTTGTACTCTACAAAAATCTTTTGCATGCCAAACTTGTTCAATTGAATCAATTCTATTTGGTCAAAGATTCATCAATATTTTCAATAACATCGGACAATTTAATATACTTCGTAATAAATAATTCAGAGTGATAATAAAGCAATAAATAGTCATTCCAGACAAAATTACATCAAATTGTTAGTTTTTTCTAATATTGCCTTCGTTTTTTTAATATTTGCATTACTTTGACTTAATTTTTTATACTATTGTAAAATGAATAAAAGTTATAGTTATTTTGTAATATATTATTGAATTAGAGAAAGATAGAAATGCATGCAATGAGGAGAGAGATAGAGAGAAATGACAACTTAAACAGGAAAGAAAACATTTATTATAAACAATGGTGCAAATAATATGAAATTACATTAGTATTTGAATTTATCAATGGGTTGTTTGGGAATATGGATTTCATAAGAAATCCTTGGTTTGGCCCAAATAACATGTATAGTAAACCAAGAAGTTTAATCTAGATTTGGGCCAAATTCCAACTCGTCTAAAAATAAAACCAAAATCATAATTTCAAAATGACACCTCAAACCCTGTCAATTCAAATTCTAATCCAACCTTAAGTTATTATACAATCATAAGTACATACTCCGTATTACATTTATATTCATCTGCTACTACACGATTGATTACTTATACTAACGCTGATTGGCGGGTTGTCTCGTCGTTCGACTTCTTGTTATTGTTGTTTTTTGGGTGACAATCTTATTTCTTGGTCTTCAAAACGTCAGCATGCATTGCCTAAGTCTAGTGCAGAGGCAAGATATCGAGGCGTAGCTAATGTTGTCTCGGAGGCTTGCTGGCTTCGTAATCTCTTGCTTGAGCTACATTGTCCTCTTCGTTAGGCCACTCTTGTTTATTGTGATAATATCAGTGCAGTTTATTTGTCTACAAACCCAGTCCAACACCAATGCATGAAACATGTTGAGTTAGATATACACTTTGTTCGTGAGAAGGTTACTTTGGGTCAGGTTCGATTACTACATGTTCCATCACGGTATCAATTTGCAGATATTTTCACGAAAGGCCTGCCTCGAGATTTATTTTTGGATGGGAATTTCCATTTGGTACCATTGTAGTTTAGGCTTTTCCATTTGGTACCCTATTTTTATTTTTATTTCAAATGGTACCACTATACTTTCAATTTATTCTCTACTATAGCATTCTATCAAATAAATTATTTAATCTTCGATTTGAGTGTCAAAAAAATTGATTGATTAAGGTTTTAATAGGATGTTTTAGCCCTTAGCAACCTTAAGGTTCAAGTTTAAGGTCAAAATTAGCAGCACAAAAAAAAAAAAAAAAAAGTACGGTTAAAGTGTTGGGGTCATTATAATTTTAAAGGATCAAAATTTGCAATCGGAATTAGAAAAATAAGGACCAAAATCGCACAATACAAATGTTTTATTTAACAGGATGTTATATAAAGAATAAATCAAAATTACAATGGTACCATGTGGAATAAAAATAAAAATTGGGTACCAAATGGAAAAACCAAAACTTCAATGGTATCAAATGGAATATCCTTTTTTTGGATTTTAAATCCAGTCCCTCCCGCTATGACTGCGGGGGTGTGATAAAAATATTACTCGAATATGCTCTTCATAGGTATATGATATATTTTTATGTAAATATTATCATATTTGAAAGGTTTCCTAATACAGTTAGGATCGGACTGTCGTACGTTACATATTGTAAACCCTATATATATATATATATATATATATATATATATATATATATATATATATATATATATATATATATATATATATATGGGAGGAATCCGGTAAGAACTCATCCTTATATAAGAACCTTAGTTATATAAGAATCAATCTCATCCGTAGGATTAGATTAATTCGGACGGTTCAAATTAAAACACGTATCCTCCCTCTAACCCCTTACCCACCACCCAAAATTTTCTCTCTCCTCTAACTTTCTCTCTCTTCCTCACGTTTCTTTCCTCCTCTCTCTCTTCAAACCCCAAAAATCTCCCTAATATTGCAATTTGAAGGATTTTAATTTAAGGTATGTTTTTCTTTTCGATTTTGTTTAAATTTCTAAGAAATTAGCATGATGTTGAAGTGGATTTTGTTTTTCTTTTCGATTTTTTTGAGTTTGATTTTCGAAAATATTGGGCTCGAATTTTCGAACTGTTGATTTTTTTTTTCTTTTCGATTTTTGTTGAAAAATTTTATATATTTGATTTTTGTTTTTCTTTTCGAATTTTCGAATTGTTTTTCTTTTTTTTTGTTCGATTTTCTATTTTTTTTGGTACGATTTTTTTTGGTTCGATTTTCTTTTTTTTTTCGATTTTCTTTATTTTTTTTGTTCGATTTTCTTTATTTTTTGTTCGATTTTCTTTGTTTTTTGTTCGATTTTCTTTATTTTTTGTTCGATTTTCTTTGTTTTTTGTTCGATTTTCTTTTTTTTATTTGTTCGATTTTCTTTTTTTTTTGGTTCGACTTTTTTTTCGTTCTATTTTTCTTTTCTATTTTTGATTTTCGAATTATATAGTTCAATTTTTTTTTCGATTTTTGCTCGATTTTAGTTCAATTTTTGCTAATATTTTGATTTTTGTTCAATTTTAGTTTGATTTTTGCTAATATTTTGATTTTTGTTCAATTTTAGTTCGATTTTGTTCAATTTTAGTTCGATTTTTGTTCAATTGGTGGCGGAATAATTGTTGTTGGTGTTGCGTGGTGGTGCAGGGGCAACAACTAATTACGACTGGTGGTGTTGAAGGGGTGTTGCGAGTGGGCTGCTCGGGTGGTGTCGAAGGGGTGTTGTATGTGGGCTGCTTGATGTGAGTTGGTGGAGTGAAAAGGGCAGCAAGCTGGTGGAGTAGGGGAATGAATTGGGGAAATGAATTATTTTCTCTATTTTGCATGAATTATTTTCTCTATTATTTTATGATTTATCATTTTCATTGTTGATTTTGTTTGATTTTATATAGTTCAATTATGTTCTAAAGTTCAATTTTATATAGTTCGATTATATTCTAAAGTTCAATTTATATAGTTCGATTATGTTCTAAAGTTCAATTTATGATATGATATCTTTTTTCTTTTTATACTTCCAAAATGCAACAATATTTTAGCAATGATGCTGAAAAGTTAAATAAAGGTAATTAAAGTTTATGTATTATTTTTCCCTTATGTTCTAAAGTTTTCCATTATGTTATAAAGTTTTGCCTTATGTTCTAAAGTATTTCTATTATGTTCTAAGATTTTCTATTATGTTTTAAAGTATTTCTATTATTCTATAAAGTTTTCTATTATGTTCAAAAGTTTTCTATTATGTTCTATTATATTTTTTCCTTATGTTATAAAGTTTTTCCTTATGTTCTAAAGTATTTCTATTATGTTCTAAGATTTTCTATTATATTATAAAGTATTCTATTATGTTTTAAAGTTTTCCCTTATGTTCTAAAGTTTTCCCTTATGTTCTAAAGTATTTCTATTCACTACTACAAAAATGCTCAAAGAGACCTTTAGTAAGAGATCATTTAAATAAATATGTGATCTCTTGGATTCAAAAGACCAAATATTTCAAATAAGTGGTCTCTCCTTCTTTTTTAATTAAATAAATTAAAAAATAGAGATCATTTATTTAGGAGAAGTGGTCTCTCCTTTATTTTAATAAATAAATAAATAAAAGAGAGACCATCTATTTACAAAAAGTGGTCTCTCCTTTTTTTTAATTAAATAAATAACAAAAGAGAGAGGCCATTTATTCAAGAGAAATGGTCTCTCTTTTTTTTTTAATTATTTTAAAAAAATAAAACCTTTGATAAGACTAATAAAAAATGGAGTAAAAATATATAAACCGGTGAAAACCCTAACTCCATCCTTATGCTCATCAGCCGCCACCCTTCTCTCTCCAGTTTCATTTCGATCTGATCCTCCTCCTCAATTATTTCTAGATCTCTCCAAGTTTCATTCATCATGCCGTCCGTTTACGCCGATCGTATGATTACATTCGAGGATTCTGAGAAGGAGAGCGAGTACGGTTACATTTGTAAGGTAATTGATTTTTTTTTTATATAAATATCATTGATTTTTGTTGTTTTACTTTGTTTGATCTGCTTTGATTGAAGTATTATGCCTTAATTCTTTCGATTTTGATGATTGTTTTGTTTAGTTTTGCTGTTTTAGAATCAGTTGTTTGTTGATTTGTGGTGATTAGGTTTTTTTTATTGTTGTTTTGACTTTTTTTTTATTTGTTGAATCATAGTTGATAGTAGTAGTTATGATTTGATGATTTATCGCTGGTTTTTGGTTTCATGATTTGGTTTGGGGATTTATGAATTTGAAGATTGCGGAAAGTGTGAGTTTTTATTTAATTTTGATTTTGCGATCTCACATTGCTTAACCTTGTTTTTGATTGCTTATTTAATTTTGATTTTGTTTTTATTTTGCGATCTTAATGAAGTTCTTTACATTTAGGCCCGTATAGTATATCATTTTTTTTTTACTTGAATTACTTTCTGCCTTTACTCAGATTAGGATCTTCCTAATTATCATTTACTATTTTATTTTTTAGCATGGACTGTGATAATTGACCTTAGACTCACTTGATCAAATGTGCTAAAATTTTCAATTTAAAGAGTTTTAATTTCCTTTACTATTATAATTATTTGCTTATTTTGGATGTCTTGGAAAAATTTTCAGGGTAAAAAGTGTAATAAAATAAGATTGATGATTTTGCTTGTTGAATGGTTCGGTTGGCAAGATGTTGCACAAGATCTGTCAAGAACACCATTGTTTTTAGTATTTTTTTTACAATAGTATGGGTTTCGTACGTAGTATAATATTTTGCAAGTATATTGATGATTATTATCCAAATAATATGGGTCTTGTACCGTTGTACGTAGTATAACTTTTAGTATGAGTTATGTATAAATTTTAACAAGTACGAACTACTTGTATTTCGTTGTAAATTTAAAGTGCATTTTTTTAATTAAAATTACATATACTAATTGCAATACGAATAACTTTTTTTTTTTAAAAAAAAGTTGCTAGAAAGAGACTATCTATTTAAAATAGGTGGTCTCAGTTTTTGAAAAACTAAGACCATCTATTTTAAATAGGTGGTCTCATATTTTGAAAAATTAAGACCATATTTGAAAGAGGTGGTCTTAGTTTTTGTAAAAATTAAGATCATCTATTCTAAATAAGTGGTCTCTCTTTTTAAAAACAAGAGACCACTTTTAATGAAATGGTCTCTTAGGCCAAAGAGACATGTGAGCTAGAGACCACCCCTAAGGTAGTCTCTTTGGCTATTTTGATATGGTCTCTTTGGCCAATTTTGTAGTAGTGATTATGTTCTAAGATTTTCTATTATTATATTGTAAAGTATTTCTATTATGCTATAAAGTTTTCTTATTATGTTCTAAAGTTTTCTATTGTGTTCTAAAGTATTATGCTATAAAGTTTTCTATTATTTTCTAAAGTTTCTATTATGTTCTAAAGTTTTCCATTATGTTCTAAAGTTTTCTATTATGTTCTATTATATTTTTCCCTTATGTTCTAAAGTTTTCTATTATGTTCTAATGTTTCTATTATGCTCTAAAAATTTCTATTATGTTCTATTATATTTTTCCCTTATGTTCAAAAGTTTTCCCATATGTTCTAAAGTATTTCTATTATGCTCTAAAGTTTTCCCATATGTTCTAAAGTTTTCTATTATGTTCTAAAGTTTTCTCATATGTTCTAAAGTTTTCTATTATGTTTTATTATATTTTTTTCTTTATGTTCTAAGTTTTCCCTTATGTTCTAAAGTATTTCTATTATGTTCTAACATTTTCTATCCATATGTTCTAAAGTATTTCTATTATGTTCTAAAGTTTTCCCTTATGTTCTAAAGTTTTCTATTATGTTCTATTATATTTTTCCCTTATCTTCTAAAATTTTCAATTATGTTCTAATGTTTCTATTATGTTCTAAAGTTTTCTATTATAGTAAAAAAAAAACAATTTGAAATTAAAATCCAATAATAGAAAAACTCAAGCAAGAAAAAAAATCTGGAAAAAAAAAATTAAAAATGAAAACTATAAACTTAAAAAAAAAAAGCGAAAAAAATTAGGGAAAAAACAGAGAAAAAAATCGAAAAATAAAAAATTGAAATCGAAAAAAAAAGTGGAAAAAAAAACGAAAAATAAAAATAAACAAATAAAAAACTTGAAAATAAAAAATCGAAAAAAAAAACTGGAAAATCGACCAAAAAAAAACTGGAAAATAGAAAAAAAAAATGGAAAATCGAAAAAAAAATTGAAAATAAGAAATCGAAAAAAATGGAAAATTGACAAAAAAAATAAAAAAACTGGAAAATAAAAAAAACTTGAAAATAAAAAATCAAAAAAAAAACTGGAAAATCGACAAAAAAAAACTGGAAAATCGAAAAAAAAATCGTAAAAAAAATTGAAAATAAGAAATTGAAAAAAATGGAAAATAAAAAAAAAAACTGGAAAATAGAAAAAAATGGCAAATCGAATAAAAAATCGTAAAAAATTGAAATAAGGAATCGAAAAAAAAAATGGAAAATCGACAAAAAAACTGGAAAATAAAAAAAAAACTGGAAAATCGAAAAAAAATTGAAAATAAAAAATCGAAAAAAAAAACTGGAAAATCGAAAAACAACTTGAAAATAAAAAATCGAAAAAAAAAAACTGAAAAATCGAAAAAAAAACTGGAAATTCGAAAAATATATTCTTAAAAATCGAAAAAAAAAAACCAAAAAATCAAACTTAAAATCGCAAAAAATAAAAACGCAAAAAAAATAAAACTAAATCAGATTTTTTTAGCAATTTCATAAACTTACCAAGTCCCTTGAGGTAGAGGAGAGAGAAGAGAGAAAAGGTTGAGGAGAAAGAAAGGGTTGAGGAGAGAGAAAATGCTGAGGAGAGAGAAAGTGTTGAGGTGAGAGATTTAGGGTATTTTTGTTTAAAGTGTGAAAAAAAAGTTATAAAGAATTACAAAAATGTCATTACTAAAGGGGTATTTTAGATGGTTAGATCAAAATCATTGAACGGTTGAGATGAGTTCTTATATAAGATTGGATTCTTATATAGAGGAGGGTTCTTATATGAGTCTTCCTATATATATATATATATATATATATATATATATATATATATATATATATATATATATGATTGGGCTAATCCGGATTCGGGGATCAGTTTTGGGTGGTTAGGTTCCAGTCCCCTCCCGATTGTTGTTGCGGGGATCGAACACGAGTCCTCCCTACCAAGTAAAGTCTCAATCACCACTACACCAACTACCAATTGGTTGTAAACCTTATATATATTGATTAATGGAATACTCTCCGATTATGGAGTTTCACAATCTAACTCAGAAGATAGTCTTATGTAATGAAATTGGGGTTATCATACTGTTGCTTAAGTACTTAAGTAGTGTAAGACCTTTTGCTTGTCAAAAAACAATAATAATCCATCCCATACACATTTTTACAACCACACACTTGATGGTGTTTGGTTCAAGCATATTAGGTATAAGGTATGAGTTTGTAATGACCAAAACCCATACCTTGTGTTTGTTTTTAGAAATTTCATTTTTCAAACCCATACTTTAAACCCTTAAGGTATGGGTTTTTGAAACCCAAGGGGGGTGGTGGGTATGGCTCAAACCCATACCTTTAGTTTAAAATTAAAAAAAAAAAACTATCATTCCTAGATAAAAACCAAACACATGAAATTAAGTATCAAATTTCAACCCCATACCACATAGGTTTCATTCCTCATTCCAAACCCATATTGTTTGAACCAAACGCCTTAGAGACTGTCAAATTGTAAAAATTTCCATTCCGTACCTATTGTGATAAGAAAGTGCTCTTATTTCAATTCAGTAGAATTTACATGGGCCTCCTAAAGTCCAAAACCCTTCTTGGGAAACTTTCCTACGACTTTTTTTTTTCTTTTTTTTTTGACAAACAAGGAAATAGCACCAAAAAAAAAAAGTTGTTTAATATGTATATATGCACTTCCTATACCAAGTAAAGCTTAGTGGAGTTGGTGGGGAATTCAACTTGTGATTTTGAGGTCATAAATTCGAGCCGCACCATCTACAAAATGCTTGGGACTAGAGGGACTTCCTTACCTTTGCTCTCAAACGTCGACTTGCGAAGTTACTTATACAATCAAACCATTTTTGGGTTACTTATTTTGGGATTACTCAGTTGGTTAACACGTTTTCGCCGGGGTTACTTATTCTAATTTACTCAGTCAGTTAGCGCGTTTTCTGTGTGATAGTAACCTCTAAGCGACCAAATAACCCCTGGATAACTAACCCCTAATCAAACGAGTAACCCCAAAAATAATAAATAACCCTTGACCAAACGAGTAACCCCTGAATAATAAATAACTCCTGACTAAATGAGTAACCCCGGTAAATAACCCCGATCACACGGTGTAGCCAGCCACATAAAAATTTGTGAAAAACCAAACATGAAGACGGACAAGTTACTCTGTTTTATACTCTTTCAATACAAATATTCAAAGCTATTACGTAAATTGTATAAAAGTCAAATTGCTACAATTTTCTCCATACATATAAGTGTTCATAAGGGGGAAGTTATTAAGAAAGCCCTATATTAAATACGACCGTACATTACATAGAAATCACTCTCCATTACGTAGAAATCACACTCCTAAGTATAGTTTTGTATTTATATTGATTGTAATTTTGTGTTTCAATAGAACAACATTTTGACAAAATATACAGGTGTACAACTAGTTATGCTAAGAGCCAATGAGGTAGGGCATTAGGACTTGATAAAAGTAGAAGGTCGCGAAAAAACAGTTTTCTGTTGCTCGAACAAAGTTAAAGCTTTCATTTTCATCATTTACATTTATGAATGTAGACATATAACGTGTCCAAAGCGCATAACTTATCCCTTTCCAACCCAAAACTAACTTACGCATTACCACACAAAAATGTTGTCCTGCGGTTTCTTTTTTCTTTTGAAAGCCAAATTATTAATAATGCCAATAAACTTTATTCAAAATGTTAAATCATAATATTAGCATCTTCAAATCAAAAGTTTTATGCATTATGATTCGCCAATGTTTGAAAACTAGAGGCCCAGAGGGCAAAGACGGAGCCAGAATTTTTAAGTGAGGGGGTCAAGATCATATCTACGTTATAATTTCGCAAGTATTGAATTGATTATGCATTTACTAAAAACAAAAATAAAATTTGTTGTTTACAAGATTTGAACTCTTGACATGTTGTACACTATCACATGGAAAAAAATCAACTCTTCTACACCAAAATATCTATTAACTAATCATCAATCTGTCTATACTATATACTAAAATAATCACCAAATGGGACACTTGGCACAATTTTGTAAAAAAAATTTCCTCCAAAATGCTATTTATTTAATTTCTTAAAAAAATTCTTTTAATAAATTTTATTTATCTATAGTAATATATAAAGTGAAAGGGGGTTTTAGGTGATAAATTTCACTTTCCCAAATTACCCCTTTCATCTTTTATAATTTTCAAAAGAAAACTACCATAATTTAAATAATATAACTACCAATATTTTTTTAAAAAAAACTACCACCCATTAATTTATTTTTTTGAGGGAAATCATATTTTGCATGAACATTATAATGTAATCATATCTTACCTTTTAACCTCTATGATTTCATCAATTTATAAACCCGCTAATATTTTTTTTTATTAGAATAAGGTAGATAATATTTTAGGAAAAAAAAAATAATCGAGTCATGCATATTAATTTCTTATGTTGCACACGCAATTTGCGTGTGTCTCACAGCTTGTATAAATAATGTGCAACACATAAGAATTTAAATGATATACATTAATAAATTCAAATTTTACAAAAATTGTTACTCATTTAATTTCAATTAACTCTATTTCAATTGACAATTTTTATTAATAAATTATTATAAATTCGTGCATTGCATGGGGACAAAAATTA